ATTGTCACACATGTATCACTCATACACTTTCCCTGTAAATTGAATGCAGTATAGAGGTGGATGAACAATGTCTTCTCCATCATGTATTTTTGTTTGTTTTGTTGTTTGTTGTCAATGTATATGTCACCATTATGTGTATCTTTTCATTTATAGTGAATGAATGTTGTATTATTGTTGGCTGTCTTTATGTTAGTTTTATGTTACCTGCCTAGGGACTGCAGATGAAAAGTAGTTATTGTTACTAATTCTGGCATATTTACATGGTGTATATTTATACAACAATGTTCATGAATATGCATGGTCCTTATTAAATAAACCAATAAATAAAATAAAATAAAATAAATATATGCATTTAACAGACACTTTTAACCACTTTTAAGTGACTTGCAAAAGCAGAGGAACTTTTATTATTATTATTGTTATTATTATAATTATTAAAAGTTAGAATTGTGCAAAGTGCTGTTATTTCACTATGTAAAAACAATTATTTGTTTTATATTTTTTAAATATATTTCTTGTCGCGACCGTTAAAGGGTTAAAAAGTGCACTGTCCATTTAATGGCCTGCAGTGGCAGCTGTGCTGTTAACTTTGTCCCTGCCACACAAAGACACGGTAAAGCTACTTTAAAGGTCCACCATTCAATTGTCCTCTCCCTATACACACACACCAACTTGCCATATGTCTACCCGTAAGCCCCGCCCCCTACCCAATAAGATCCCGCCTACCAACCTGGAGGATCGAATATCACGTCCGTCTTTCGCTGCATCACTCGACTCCTTATTTCATCCAAAAATCGCTGTTACAGTGTTACAGCGGCACTGTTTAAGCTGAAACCTCTCGTCCACGCGGATTTAACAGCACAGAATGTTAGTATGACACCCAAACCGTCCTCTGTATCCTAAACCGGGGGTTGGGAGGGGAGAATCAGATCTTTTGACCCCAGCCATCATTCCCTGGATAACGGGCACAGAGCCACCCGACAGCCTCAATTGTTGTTTCCTTTTGCCGACATCTGCTGCACGTTGCTCACATTTGCATCCGAAGCAACAAGAGGTCTGTATTAGGATGTAATGGACCACTTTAATCTCATTTCCTGAAGACGAAATCAGCTTATTTGATCAGAACATTTCATCGGTTTTGTTCATTCATTGAGAGCATAATAACAATCAAGGGCTTGGTGACATGATGGAGAGTGTGGAGAAGGAGTGCGGCGCTCTGGGTGGATTGTTTCAGGCGATCGTCAACGATATGAAGGTACCACGACTGTTTTATTGATGCAGATATTTAGCAAAAAAGATGGTTGTGTTTTACTGCCTTTGTTTTCATCAGGGGTCCAGCTGCCTGCACCACTGATGCTGTGATTAATGGCATGGGGGTCTCAGCATGGAGGGCTTTGTTGTGAAATGAGAATTGGACCCTTTTGTAGATGTTAGTAAAACCTGTTATATGTTAAAGCATTTTTTCTGTGCATTTTATTTTGCGCTAAACATACGATTAATACAGTAAAATGAGAGAAAATATTTTTTCCACTGAATATAAATCTATTAGTGGTTTAGAAATGTTCAGAATTCTTTTTATCCAAAATAGTTTTTATATGAAGCATGGGCACCACCCCCTTTTTTCCATGCTTACATATATATGTAAAATTATGTTTTGATAGTCAAATACATTCACTACACCTACTGTCTGTCTGTTATTGCATGTTTAGAGAGGCTCATGTGTAGTTTGATTTTTACAAAAACCATATAATCCCATTTTAACCCAATTAATTTTACTTAACATAGTCCTCGCATTTACAAATTTGAAAATGGTGCACTAAAAGTCTGCCTAGCTATTAGTTGTCCAATGAGCAAAAGACATTTACCTCTATTTTGGACTCCAGTCAGAATATCTCTCAGGCTGACCCTCTATCATATTGATGATTTTGAAAGCAATGTTAATGTGCAGGGATTACGCATGGCTCATAAAGAGATAGAAATGCATCAGAGTGAACTAAATGTGGAGCTTAACTAAACTCTCACTTGCTCAAAGCCTTGTTGTGATTTTAGTGAAGTAAAAAGAACCAAATACAGCTTTTAAATAGCTGTTTGTATAGAATACAGTATGTAAAATATTGGTATTCATGCATTTAGGAAAGCATAAGTCGTAATAGTGACATTCATTTTTGACAGAAGAGAAAGTTTGTTTATTTGATGGTGAAAAACTAATTCTAATTATGGGAAATCTGGGGATTGATTTAAATATCACAGTGGCTATTTTGTACAGTATAGCCTTACTAAAATCAATAAGGTATATTATTACCTGGCATGTAAATATTTGATATCTTTATTTGCACCATTTATTCTTATTTATTTTCTTTACCCACATATATTTAAGAAGAAACATTTGTAGTTATATTCCTTACAAAAAAAAAAAGCCAGAATCCAATTGTGTAATGTCATCAAAAACACTATTTTTAAAAATAGTTTGTTAAATATTTAGGATGAAGGATGTTGTTGTTGATGAAAGATCCAAGGTCTTTGCACATGGTTGTCGATAAGTTGAATTTAATCTGTTCTCCTGTAACATTTAAACCTCTCATGGCCACCTCTAAGATATGATCTGCTTTTCCTACAGCTAGGCCTATTTGCAATTTTTTTTGGAGCGTTTTCCAGCCTGTTGCGTTGTTGGAGCAGAACCCTGTGGTTGCACATACTGTTCCATAAATGGTTTCCATGTTCTCATGCGGCTCCAGTAGTGAATGTTATTGCTGAAAGTTGGCGTTTGAGTGAAGTTCAGTGGCCAGATGCCAGATCTGGAGTTCATATATTGTGAACGGCTCCAGACTTGGCTCGGGACCAACCCTGGCAACGTTCAGCTTGTTTGACATGCAGTATATCAACACTCGTAAAGATGGTGAAGCCGGAGAGTGTCGTAATGTCAGAGATGATGTGCGTAGGTAGGGCAAACTCCTCTTCAAAAATTTGCATATTGTAGAATTTCTCTACTCTGTGATTTCACTTGGCAGACCAAGATCTATAAAAGAGTTTACAGCTGTGGCCAAAGGTTTAGGACAGCTATTTTTGCTAGAATAATATGAAATAAAACACACAAACATAGCTGCTTTCACTTCAAAAATAAAATAGAATTAAACTAATATTAAATTAAATAAGAAATAATAATTATACTCATCTGTTTAAAGCAGTTAATTTAAAGTGCCCCTATTATGGGTTATAAAATGTTCATATTTTGGTTTTGGGAGTCCCCAACAACAGGTTGACATGCATGCAAGGTCAAAAAACACTTTCATTGTCTTATAATATGCATTTATTTTTTACCTTATTTGCTCAACGACTCCCAAACGATTCGCTCAGCGATTCATTTTTACATGCCTGTAATGCCTGATAAAGCAGCGTTTGTGAGCGCATTGCTGCTTTGTTTACAGCCGTTACTGGGGAAACAACTATTTTTACGCTCCAAAAGCCCTAGTGGCAAAGAATGAATTTGCATTTTCATTCAGACCAACGCGAAAAGACCAACAAGTGGGCGGGCAATATGCTAATGTTTCACGTTGATGTCAACATGAAACGGCTTGGGATTCGTTTTAAAAACGTCGTTTTAAATCATTTCAATGATTCAGAGTCGACTCTTTCTTTTGAGAGACAATAACTTTATACACGGTGCACTTTCAGATTTAAAACTTGGGGCACTTTAATACTTTTTATATAGCCTACATTTTTTTAAATCCTCCGGCATAAAAAATTCGGTCTGTGCAAAAACTTTAATAACATTTTGAATGTATTTTTCAGCAATGGTGTTTGCGAGCTTTTAACCGCGATAGCCTTAATGACTAAAGATAAACTCAAGGGCTAATATGACAAATAACATCTTTAAGGTCACAGTTTCATTCTTGAATTGAAATGTTATGACTTTTTGTTATTTTGTTTATTGTGTTTATTGGACACAAGTACTGCACTACTGCCATGGAGCCTAGGAAATAACCACAAAATTGGGCTTTTCTTCAAAGTCTTATCTGGGCTTTGTCACTGATTCCAATCATAATACCAGAAAGTTTTTTATTCATCATCGCAAAGCAAGACATTTTAATGATATTTTAATGCTTAGCAGGAAAGACTAGTTTCTAGACAAGTTTCTAACTAACTAATAGTGATACTGATTCGATACGATCTGATTTGATATATTTTATATTCATATTTTAATTAAAGCAGATCAGATATATTAAATATTTAAAACTGTGATGATGTTTTTGTTTATCTAAAGCAAAAAGGTAAAACAGGTACAACTATATTTTGTCTATAAAAATGATCAAATGATCATATTATTGAATTAAGCTGTTGTTGGTTACGGCCAATAAGTGAATTGATCTCAGCATCTGCAGACTGTTCTTAACCTGCAACAACCTTCTTTGTTCATCTGTTTCAGTCTCAATCTCCTCGTGTCCTTCTTGTCCTTGTTACTTGAAAGCTAATTAACCACCTGTGGGTTTTAAATATACCAGGCTTTGACTGTTTGAAGAGCTCATTTTTCTTGAATGATTTGTGTACAGTACCTTACATAAGTTTGGGGTCAGTAAGATTTATTTATTTATTTAAAGAAATTGATATTGTTATCCAGCAAGCACTTTAAATTGATAAAAAATGACAGTAAAGACTTTTACATTGTTAAGTAAATGTTGTTGTTTTCGATGTTTTTTTAACAGTTCACATAAAAATATTCCTTTTTTTCAACATTGATAATAATAAGAAATGTTTCTTGATGATTTTTGAATGATCATGTGACACTGAAAACTGGCTGCTGAAATTCAGAATGGGAATAAATGACATTGTAAAATATATAAAATAAAAACAGTTATTTTAAATTGTATTAATTTCACAATTTTACTGTTTTTACGTTTTGATCAAATAAATGCAGCCTTGGTGAGCATAAGAGACTTATAGACCCTAAACGTTTGGATGATAATATATTTTTGTTCTTTTTTTTTGATACTCTCTAGTCATATGTTTATGCATTATACTGCATACACCACACAAACCTCTTAACAGATTAAAGAGAGATTGTGTGTAACTAAAGGGTGAAATTTTAGCTGCACAGTGAGCTGTGGAGCAAAGTTACGTTTTTTTCCCCCCAAAACAAAAGAAAACCTAGATTCCAACATCAACAAACAAAATAAATTAGACACCCTTGCTTTTATTTATTTGTTTATGAAATAATAAGAAACCACTGTTTACAGTAGATTTTTACAGTAGAGTTTTCTACCATATCTCCCTATTTAGTGGTTGTGTCAGCAAAAATGCCAGAATGCACTTATTCAGCAGTTTTGACCAATTTTTTAACACAAATGTGTATAGAAACAAAGGATTTTCAAACAGATAAATGTCTTAACCTCTGAATGAAAGATCATTTGCTCATGGTCATCAGAGACCCATGTAACAACAACCTTATCTTACCTCTCCAGTTTCTTAACAAGAGCTGTCAGCACAATTTTAAAAAGATTCTTCCCTCCTGTCCCCGGAAATTTCACTTTATTAAAGACAGACTTTCTCTTGAATTGATCCAATGTGAAAGCTGTTTTTCAGTTGTTTTGTATATGATGCATCTTGGGGTGTGATAATAAATAATTATTTTGGAATGAAAATTCTTAATGTTTTATAAAGGTTCTTCTTGACCAATGAAGTGTTTCTGGTTAAGCTTGTTAAAGTGATAGTACACCCAAAAATGAAACGTTTGTCATCATTTACCCACCCTCATATTGTTCCAAACCTGTATGACTTAGATATTCTGAAGAATGTTGGTAACCAAACAGTTTTGGAGCCCATTGACTGGTGCTGATTATATGGACAAAAAACACTTGAGACAAAATGTCTTCAATTATGTTTCAAAGAAGAAAGTAAGCCATGCAAGTTTGGAACGATGTTTAAGAAGCCTATTGTGAAGACACTAGCATCCTATGTTGGGGAACAACATATGCTGGTCATTTCAACAGCATATAAAGTCATGATGACAGACAGGGTCAGCACACCTGGTCAAAATTTTGCTGGTGTTCCTGTAGAGAATGTTCTTCCTAAACAGATGGAAGTGTGTCATGAATGTTTGTATTCAGCGAGACATCTGGTCCTCATCTGAAGTGCTTTGCTCTCTTTGTGGTACATGGAGTTCTGAATGTGTCTGTGTTTTGTAGTACCTGTATCTGTGCAGTTTAGTGTTGAGGTTTATGTGCTTACTAACTCTCATATGTCTCTCTTCATTCCTGTAGTACTCATACCCAGTGTGGGAAGACTTCATTGCAAAGGCCACGAAACTACACTCCCAGCTAAGGTAATTTAAGATGTCTTTTATTAGTTATTTCTTTCATCTTTTCGGAGATATTGATACTCACCTTAGGCCTTGTTCCAAATGGCACCCTCAACCCTTGCGGTCCACCTGTGCAGTCTACATTTTGCTGCATGGGGTGTTGGGTAATAGTCTGCTCCAGTGTGGGATTGACAAAATGCCGAATGAGCACTCTTCTGATTCTGAATCATAAAATGACAAATGAGACACCCTCAGGCCTCATGGACTTCACAGCATCAAATTCACTTCAAGTTCACATCAAGCGCTTCATTTGGGACAGGGCCTTAATTTGCATTCTCAAGATGTGAATCAGATTGATTTTCAGCAGTTCTGTCGCTGTTCCTAATCAGCACTGGCGCTGATGACTATAAATGTTTTGCTGTTTACTCCCTCACAGAACCACATTGTTGGCGGTCGCAGCGTTTCTGGATGCTTTTCAGAAGGTGGCAGACATGGCAACCAACACGAGAGGTACATTTAAAATGTTGAGATCACAATGATCAACGGTTGTTGAGTTGCAGGTTGTTGACTGTTTTGGGTGACTATAATAAACTTTTGCATATAGTCAAATTGCACAGTTTCATTTCATCCCTATATTTGACATCGGAAGGAAGTTGGAAGTGGGTCTGCATGATTTGGGGAATGATTTATGCATGATTTGCTAAATTGCAATTGTGATTTAAAATGTGATTAAAAAATTCCAGGTTTGCTGCTTGTTTGAAGGGCTGCCTGATTTGACCAAATTTTTGTGAATTTTTGTGTAAATCAATATGGCTATAACATAAAACATATATATAAAAAAATAATAATTATTATTATTATTATTATTACTACTACTAACTAAAAAAGATAAAAATGTTAAATAAAAAAAATTATTTAAGAAAAATATAATAATAATTTCAACTTTAAAATTATAATACAAATATTTATACAATATTACAAATATAAAATTATTACAAATATCGTAGAAAAATTATATTTATCTTATTTTTTTCATTTTCAAACATTTCATTTTTAAAACTGCAGGGAGCCCGGCTTCTCTTTTGATAAGTGCTTCTTATTACAAGTATGGAAAGATGGTAGGCACATGTTGCATTTCCAAACGCATGTTAAATCGACCCAAACTTGAGATGGAGTTTGTGTGGAGCAGCATTTACTGCAAACCGAGATGCTCTGAGATGCTTCAAACACTGGCAGATAGTAAGATGCTCACGTGAAAACACAGTGTCGTGCTTTACTCTGAAACACGAAGCATATATATTTATTTAATTAAATCACATCCTATGTGGACTAAGTCGTGTTGCATTGTTCAATTTTGTCTAGTTTTCTTTCATATGAATACATCAGAAAGGTCACTTTGAGTTTGTTCTGATAACTAGGAAATGGCTTGAGAGTCATATTTCATCATAGTTCAATTCTGCTTCTAGCTGGCTGCTATTGAATCTCTGAAACCGAATCCTTCCTGTGCCATTAAAATCTTCTAGTTACTGCCTGCAGGGACCAGACAAGGCCAAACAAATCTAGTCTTCATCAACACGGTTAAAGGATGGGGGTCAGGCATAGCTGTCGGCCTAGAGCTGAATTACTCATTTGTATCTGTCTTGTAAATTGCACCATATGTACACAAGCGCTGAATGCACTGGATCTTTATTTCCCATGTAGTGTGCGTGGGTTTGTGTGTATAAGAGCCGACCAGCCACAATAGACAAAGGGACCGGTTGCTGTTGGCTACCAAAATCTACAAGGTTACAGCACTTGCACAGGAACTACAGATACCTCACAGAGACCAGACAGACATAAAAAGCTCTGGTTTTAAATATCTGCTTAGTGTGGGAGAGAAATTATGATGGAATAGTTTATTTGACACTTCAGTTTATGAACTTTGATACTGGTTTGTACTTGTTAGACAGGCTTAATCAGGGCTGTGATCATCTCCAGTATCTATTTTTTAGATATATTTTTAAAAAATCAATGATATTATTTTTTCAATATATTTGCAATAAATTTCAATTGTTGAATAAAAAAGTTATGCCACCTACCCCATTCTGGCGATATACATATATATACTTGTCCGCTTGATCCTATTCCATCTCATCTCCTTCAAGCCATTTCTCCTGCCGTTGTACCTGCACTCACTCACATCGTTAACACATCCCTTCACACTGGTGTTTTTCCCTCAGCATTTAAACAGGCTTGTATAACCCCACTTCTTAAGAAACCCACTCTTAACCCAACTCTTTTAGAGAACTACAAACCGGTTTCCCTTCT